GGCTTCTTCGGTTGTAAAATGGGGTGAAGATGTGGCTCGGGTTTCACTGAGTTGCTGGGAAGGCTGGATGAGCTGCTGCTGGTAAAGCCCTCAGAACGCGTCTGGCTCAGTGTTAGTCCTTAGCGGTGTGAATCAGTGGGGACCAGGTACCTCTGAGCCACCTGATTTCATTCTACACCCATCCTTACAGCAGGGTTTAGTGTCTCAAGGCATCTTCTAAGTAGATCCAACCCCACAAGTGGACTAATAAGAAAGGAGACTTTACCAAATATCTCAGGGGGAGAAGGAGGATGAGGTTTCCTTGGGAGTGCTCAGTGCCCCAGCTCAAAATCCCTATTGAAAATCTGGCCCCTTTCCTCTTGGTACACCCTCTGCTGGGCCTACCCAGTCCTGCAGTTTCCATGGCCTCTGGGACAGGGCCCCCCTCGCTCCTTCCTCTTAGTCTTTTCACAGAATCCACTTCTGGTTTTGCTCATCTTCTGTTTTCTTCTATAAACTGAATGTTTGTGTCCCTCTACCCCCCCCCCCACCCAAATAAGTTGAAATCTTGCCTCTCAAGGTCCTGGTGTTGGGGGTGTGTCTTTTGGGAGGTCCTGAGAGCAGAGCTTTCAGAAGGGCTTTCTGCCCTTGAGAAGCGACCTCCAGAGAGATCCATCACCCTTTCTGCCACATGAGGGTACCGCCAGAGCAGGCCACCCATCTATGAACCACAGAGCAGGCCCTCAGCAGGCACTGGACGTCCCAGGACCTTGATCTTGGACTTCTCAGCATCCAGAACTGTGAGCAATGAGTTGCTCTTGTTTTAAGCCATTTTGTGATATATTGTTATAGCAGCTCATAAGGGACTAAGCCATTTTCCATTTTCCTAATTTCTAGGCTTATATATTCAGTCTCTCAGTCCTTTTTTCTTTCTTTCTTTCTGTCATTCTCTTTCTTGAAAGAGGTTGACCAATTTAGAGAAGGCTAGGGATCCGGATCCTTACCTCTTGGGGACTGTTCAGTTGTCTCCATGGTCCATTTTACTGTGACATCTTTTGGACATATATGTTATTTTATCATCACAGTGATAATCTGATGAGAGAATTGATGGTCAGAACTCCAAGGGCTGCTGGGCTGGGGTTCTGGCTCAGTGGTAGAATGCTCGCCTAGCACATGCAAGGCGCTGGGTTCGAGCCTCAGCACACATAAAAATAAATAAATAAAATAAAGGTATTGTGTCCAAGTTCAACTAAAAAAATATTTTAAAAAAAGAATTCCAAGGGCTGGGGGTCTAACTCAGTGCAGGAGCACTCACCTGGCATGCACAAGCCCAGGTTCAATCAGAATTTAAGTTTCTGGATGGAATGCAAATGACCAGCATCATTAAAATTACGACAAAACAAGATCAAGTAACAGTTTCTTTAGGAGGCTTCGGAACCAGGAACCAAACTGCCCAACTCAAGCCCAGAGAACAAATCTCACAGCTCATGAGAATCAACTTAAGACAGCCGAACAGCTTTCCCTTAAAGTCTCCATTAATGCCTTTTCTACCTGGCCTTTCTCATTGATCCACGTATAGCAAGGCATTTTAGCGATGGCACAGATGCCCCTGTGACTGGCCAAGAAGAAATTTAGAGCAATGTGATTGTCCATCACTGCTCATGCAGAGGAAGTGCAACTGATTTGTATTCCACTAAGTGCAGGGCGGCTTCGTTGCAACTTCTGCTTGAGCTAATGATGTCTCTTGCAGTCTTTGCTATCTGCATCACTCTCACCAGAATGAACAATGAATCAGTAATTCCCCCAGGGAGAGTGCTGGAATAATTATGACTGGCCTGGTTTTGGAGTTCATGTACGGTGGGGATTTCTAAAGTATGTGAGGCATTAGTCTGAGGCAAACAGGATTAGATGTTCTGGGCTGAAGGAAGTTGTATTCAGCAGGGACTCGGAGATAGAGGAAAGAAGAGTTACTCATGACATGAGGTGAAAACCCAAGCTTTACATTAGCTGGGATACATATTTGGATTGCAATTAGCCTCATTTAGGAGGCAAGTATTTGGATCATCATCCTATTAGGGTTGTTGAATTTAAATTTAGAAATACACAGGGTCTGATCAATACTCTAATAATTGGTTCCTTTTCAAGGAGAGAGGGACACCAGCAAAGTTACAGGTTGATTCGCTTAAGATCATTTGTCCATGTAATTGCAAGCAGAAACATCATTGGTTGTGATTCCCTAAGGTCTTGTTTAATGAGATTGGAATTGTTCAGAGATTTTTATCATGGGGATATGGTGATGGATGATACATTCAGCAGTCAGTAAGACTGGGGGAAGTGGCTATTGTTGGGGATAACCCAAGAATGTCATTAGAATGAGTATGTTCCAGACTAACAATTATCTGGAATAAAAGGGAAAGAGGCCATTATGGAAAGACAAAAGCTAGAGGTCCCCATATAAAATAAGTAAGCAGATTAAACAACAACGAGAGTTAGGCAGGGATCTTAGCCTAAAGCCTGGGGAAAAAACTGTCCTATTTGAGGTCATTGGCTTGTTCTGAAGGTCTTGGATTGGCTGACAGCTTCAGAAGACTGGCTGTTTCTGGAAGGTATCTGAGAATCCTCAGTTTGAAGCACCTTGTTGGATTTGCTTTTCAGTTGTACAGAATTCAAAATTGCTTTTTTAGTTCTGGAATGTGAGCCCAGAGATTGGCTCCTCAGGATTTCACTGTTGTATTCATTGTTAATTGTACAGATAAGGCTCCTTGCAATGAAGTTCAAGAATAGTTCCTCTTGGATATCTCTTCCAATAGATAACATTTCCTTGTTGGAGATCATGAAGAGGCTGTTTAGGAGGATGTGGGACTAACAGCATAGTGATTTTGGTGTTAGGACTGAGTATAGTACATGAATCTCTTGCAATATTGTGACTTGTCTATGTGCAGTAGGACTGAGTCTGCTATCAGAGGTGGAAACTCTAAATGTCTGGGCCTTCCAAGACTGGATCACCCGGCCGTAAAGGTTATTGGAATGGGAATATGTTAGATCAAGGAGACTCAAATGGTTCACAAGGTTTTGTTAATCTAAATGTAAATATGCCATTGATTCTTTCAACCTCTCCAGAAGATTTTGGGTCGTAAGGATGGTGTACTTTTGGAAGAAGATTATAGATTCTTTATAATAATTTCACAATTGAGAAAAGGGTAATGACTTAACAGTGTTCACATAAAATGTGTGCCTCGGTCACTTTATATAAAAGTTGTTTTTCCTCAGGTTGGAAACATAAAATCAAGTAGCTTTTAGAAACTGTAAGGGATGTAGCTTTTTGGCAAGGAAGTGCCATGGGCCACCCTGAAAATAGATACACAGTAAATAAAATACATTTTAAAAATTGGTTTGATAGTGGTTAAAACAAACAAACTCTTTAGTCTTGTTCCAGCCCCTACCTCCCTTTTACAGATTTTCCAGGGATATACTGTTGACAGGTAACACATGACTTCAAAATAACCTTACTGTCTTTTTTAAAGTTTCACAACTAATGCTGATTTGCGATAGTAACCAATTGGTTTACACTACGATGAGTATTTCCATGAAGAAATGTAATTTCATGCAGAACAATCAGATTTCCCTATTCTTTCTTTTCAAAATCAGGGACTAGACACTGTCAAGGTAGAAGGACCCAGTGCAAGAAAGGTGCTCAACTTATGGGAAGGTGAAGAAGCAGAGAGAGACAGGAGAGGGGCAGGGCCAGCAGGTAAGGTGAACCCTCCCTGCGCATAGGCCAGTCACCACCTCCTTCAGTTTTGCCCCACCTGCCTACTGTTACCACTTAGTCAGTCCATTCAAACCAGGACACAACTTGCTTATGAATGGAGTGTCCTCTGGAACTCTATGAAATAATCCCTTTGCTGTGTACTTGTGGTTAATAGTTTTTGCTGATTTCTGTGGTGTAAATGCTCTCACCGTGTCTAATTTCAAGGCACCAACTTTTGAATGGGAGTTGAAAAAGATATGCAAAAGTGCACCATTATTATTGTGTTTCCATCACACAGATACAATGGATGAAAGTAATCTGAGAAGCATAGATAATAAATATAGTAACATAACTAGAAAGTGGTGAATTTTGAGTATTTTGCTTTTAATGTCATTCTGTGTAAGCTCATATAATTTAATTTTAGGAGTATCTATTTAAAGACTAGCTCACAAAAATACTGAACATTTAACAAGCAGCTTTCACAATCAAGTGTGAAACAGTGTAAATGGGCTCTAGCACACTACTGAGTGAGGACAATGCCAGGGATTACTATAGGCTTACCTAAGATGAAGATGAGGCGGAAACTGAAGGCAGGGATCCTTTTTATTTATGTCTTCAGCACTTGTAGGTTATTCAAGAGCCAAAGTAGTTCATTGATTCCCCCCCCCCGCCCTCCTATATTCTGGGCATTGTTTTAGGTACTAGGGGGAGAAGGAGCACTGCAGCAAAAGTCAAGGCTCTGCCTTAAGAGCGTTTACATTTATCGAGGGGCTATGTAGACACATGTCTGTGTGTCCGGTGATGGGGAAACAAACGTTATGGCTAAAAGTTCTGTAGTGCCAAAGAACAGGAGTGGAGCATTGCCATTTCATATGGGGTGGTGAGGCAGTTGTGAATGTCTTGGAACCTGACAGTGTTCATAAGGTTGATTCTGCGCAGATTTTAATCAACCAACAAGGTCGGAATACAAAGGAACGCATTTTTTTTTTATGCACTTTTTACAGAAGTGCATGCAATTGCACTTCTGTATGCTCAGCAGTTCACCCAAGTGCAAAGTCCTTTCTAAAGTTCTAGTTCCAATCAGATGCTCGCAGTCCGAATTTTAACACTGACTCCTCCCATCTCCGCCTGAAGCCGGCTAAATGTGAGGACTCCCTTGCGCATGCTCAAATACTCCAAAATCCTGGAGTTCCGGCTACAGGTTTGCGCATGCGCACGAGGGGGCGTTGCTGGTCGCTATCTGTTTTTGTCCCAAGGTCCTGCCGTACCGTCCAGGCGGCGAGTTGCATTCTGTGGCCGGTGTGTGGGGAACTGTACTTCAGTCTACCCGTCTCCGACGCCAAGGGCGTCATGAACCGCGAGACCTTCGCGGCGGGCGAGCGGCTGGTGTCACCGGCTTACGTGCGGCAGGGCTGTGAGGCCCGCCACTCGCACGAGCACCTCATACGGCTGCTTCTGGAGAAGGTACCGAGGTGTCGGTCCCCTCCCCAGCCGCGCGCCCGCGAGGCTCCGGCCCCGCCCCGCGCCCCGGTCCGTGCCGGGTCCTGCTAGCAGGCTGCCGGGTGGAGTCCTTCCCGGACGGTCGCAGTTCGGCTCGCCCCGCGCTGCTCGCTGCGCTCAGGTCCTTCCCAGCCTCGCCGCAGCCTGCGAACCCGGAGCCTGGCCTGCGGGGCTGAGGGGTCGGGGCTTGGAGACCTCATCTCCGCTCTCCGAACCGAGTGGTTCCAGCCCAGCTCGTTTCCCTTTGTTTGCGGAAAGGGCAAAGTCCGAGTCTTTCGCGCTCCCAGACACTCGGGGACACTGGTCCACCAGGAGCCAGCTCGGGACTCGGGGTCTCGCCCCGCCACCCCCCCCCCCCAACGTGCCTGAACTTTAATTTCACTAGTTCGACAGCCCTAATTATAGCCCCTGGTTGGAGTCGTCTTCGCTGACAACACGGTGTTTTGGTTCCCACTCACTCTGACTTACTGAAACTTATACCCCAGGATACGCGTTTGTCATCACTTCTCGCAATCTGCAGATAGTCGCAATCAAGTGTAATAGGAATGTTGTGCCAATTTGAGGTTTCTTCATAGTGCTGAATTTTATCTCAATTTTAGGAGCAAGGAGCGTGGCAAAATACACATTTAAAAAGTTTAAAATACATTGATGTAGGGTTTACATCGTCTTGAGAACGATGGTTTACTTGAATATAATTACTAGTTTTTGTTTGTTTGTTTGTTTGTTTGTTTTTAAGGGCAAGTGTCCAGAAGATGGTTGGGATGAAAGTACTCTTGAACTCTTTTTACATGAGCTTGCTGTCATGGATAGCAACAATTTCTTGGGCAATTGTGGTGTGGGAGAAAGGGAAGGGAGAGTGGCATCTGCGTTAGTTGCTCGTCGTCATTACAGGTATGTTTTTTTAAGTAGATGTGAAATCATTTTTTTTTTCTTTTTGAAGGATGGTAAACATAATGGTGGCAGTATTCGGCTTATAAAATTGTCCATTGGCAAACCACTTTATTGTTCAAACGGGCTTGGAATCCAGATTCAACAAGGAGATGGAAACAGTTTATCTGAGCAGGTGCTTTTCGAAGACAAAAGATTAGAAGTACTAATATCTGGTGTTTCCCCTGTCAGGTTCTGGGTTGTTAACAGCACAACCTAAATGTTCTGAAAAGAATGTTTGATCTTGTGGTTGTAAGGGTTTTAAATACTTTAAGGTTGTTTATAGATTTCCATTTCTCTTTTAACATTGCAAGTTTTGTTGGAGAATGATTTATAGTTAGAACTTTAAAACATTGTCCATCTGTATCTAAGCTGAGTCCCATTTTATGAATATTTGTTTTTGTTGCAAAGAAATAGGAAAAAGTGTATTGGATTATTAATTCACTTTTATTCATTATTTCAGAAAGCTTTTCTTCAGTTCTGATAATCATGAAATTATGAAGTGATAGTGATTTTAAATATGATCATTTCTTTCTGTTTTTCAACCTTTCTGGAAGATAAATATAAACTCTCTTAAAAACTCCTGTCTTCCATGATTTTAAATCATGATGAAATTTTCCTGGGCGTAATAGGATCTTTTTAAGCTAAACTGTTGAAGTCAGAACTAATGATCATGAATGCATGAATTGAATGAAGATTTCATATTTAACAATTTGTTTATAACATAGTTGGTAAGTAATAAATGCTTTGTTTATGAGGTTTTGATGGTAAGGAAGTGCAACACTGTGTTCTGTGATAATCCCATTACACAGAATTTCTGATTTGCTTAACTATAAATTACAAATTATTTCAGATTACAAATAGATTTTTTATTTTAAAAAGTATTTAGAGACATTTTTTAAAAATGTATAACGTCATATAGTTTAAAGTCAGTGGATTGTCACTGTTATTTTTAAGAAGCATATATGTCTTTTAAAATTAGGACAATTTTTGAAACAAGTTCATTGCCATTAGAACTTACTCCACTTCTCTGGTTATATAGTGTAGTTTTCTGTTGTTGCCTAACCATGCCAAAACTTAACGGCTTGAAATAGTTATACATTATTATTTCTCATAGTTCTCTGTGTTAACTGGACTTAGCAGAATGATGATTGTTTGTTTTGCCTCTTTGGTACAGTTGTGGTCAGATGTTGGCAGCCAGTTTAGTCATCTGAAGGTTCAAATGGGCATTTTATTCAAGATGACTTACTCACATTATATGGGAACTCCGATGGCCTCTCTTTGACTTGGGTTCCTCCCAGCATGGCAGCTTGATTTGGAGAGAGGACACCCTAAGAGTGAGCTGTTTAAGGATCCTGGTGGTGGGCTGGGTTGTAGCTCAGTGGCAAAGCACTCACCTAGCATGTTTGAGGCCCTGGGTTCGATCCTCAGCACCACATAAAAATAAATAAAATAAAGTTATTGTGTCCAACTACAACTAAAAAAAATTAAAAATTAAAAAAAAAGATTCCTGGTGAAACTGTAGGTAGGGCCTCTTATGAACTAGCTTAGAGGTTCCAGACAGTCATTTCTGCTGGGTAGGCAAATCACTAAAGCTAACCTGGATTCAGATGGAGGGGAAATTAGACTTCATCACCTGGTGTGGGCAGGGAAAAAAGAAATTAATGGTAGCCATCTTTGGAGACTAGATACCATCACAAAATTGATGAAATTATTTCAATTTAAATAGGATATTTTCACTCTATTAAATATAGTTGATGATGTATATATTCAATAGCTGAATATTGCCTCTGTTCTTTTTTGGTTATTGTGATTGAATACTTGTGTATTGAATCACTTAAAATACTGAGTATATTTGTCCAGTCTTTGCCCCATTTTTTGCTCAGGCTCATTCATGGGATTGGACGATCGGGGGATATTTCTGCTGTGCAACCAAAAGCTGCAGGCTCTAGCCTTTTGAACAAGATTACTAATTCTTTGGTCCTGGACATCATAAAGTTGGCTGGTATGTACTGTAGTAATCGTAAGACATTTGGTGACCAAGGGTGTATACCTTTACCTAATTTATTTTATTAGTGCCTCCTTCTAAAAAGAATATAACTGGCTTTTTTTGGGGGGGGTATGGGGGAATGAACCCAGGGTCCCTTAACCACTGAGCTACATCTCAGCCCTTTTTATATTTTGTTTAGAGACAGGGTCTCCCCAAGTTGCTTAGGGCCTCACTAAATTGCTGAGGCTGACTTTGAACTCATGATCCTCCTGTTTCAGCCTCCTAAGCCGCTGGGATTACAGGCTTGCACCTGTGCCCAGCATAACAGGCTTTTAAAAGGACACACATATAAGAAGTGTTACTGCATAAGATAGAAAATCAGTCATAACCCCAGAGGATGAATTTGACAGTGACCTTTCTGGGAGTAAGTACAGAAAAACAAATACTCAGGCTATGACTCTTTATTTATTTGAAAAAAGAAATATATCATTTCTTTAAAAAGGATGTTAGGTTTTCAATGGTAACTAATTTTTGTTTTACTTCTTATTTGTAGGTGTGCACACAGTGGCCAGTTGCTTTGTAGTTCCTATGGCAACTGGTATGAGTCTAACTCTGTGTTTCTTAACATTACGACACAGAAGACCAAAGGCAAAGTATATCATATGGCCACGAATAGACCAGAAATCCTGTTTTAAATCCATGATCACCGCAGGTAAAAAAAGAGAAGTGGCCTATATAGTGTTTTAAATATCCTAATGAGAAAATACAGAATTTTTATGTACAGATAGATAAATGAAAAATTAACTAAATCTGTTCCGTATTTCTTTTTTTAATGTGATAAAATGTACATGATGTAAAATATAGTGGATATATTGCTTATACAACTTTTAGGTTTATAGATACTAAATGTTTACCATTAAAGTTTATGTAATTATTATTTGTGGGACCTATTGATTGCTAGTTAAATATACTCTTTCCATTGAAAATTTAAACAAAAATTTTATGTTTTGATCACAGAAGGCTCTTGTGAGTTGAGATGGGCCAGTGATCCTCAAGCTAGTGAAATCAATTACAGTTTTCTTTAAAGGTGAAACTTTGATGTTTGTGATTTGTTTCAGGCCTTGAATTTATATTATTATTTATGTCCATCTCTGAAATAAAGTGAGCTGTAAATTAAAACTGAAATATTGCCAGAAAATGAGCGGACTTGGACTAGTGATCCTTTTTGTTATCAATATCTGTTATTACTTCTGTAGATTCTATTTAATTTTTATTTTTATTATTTTCCAAAGTTATTCTTTTTTTTTTTTTTGTCACATCAAAGTGTTAAAAAGGTTTGTGATCCTAATTATCTAGTCTTTCACATCAGTTTGACCTGGCTTTGACTAATGTGAGCATTGTGCCAGGTTTTATTACTAGAGGAAGGCTCATCAATCAAAATATTTAGAGTTCTTACATGGAACAGCACTGCCGTGTCGAGTTCCAAGATCTGACTTTATTTTCGTTCACCCTAACATTTAGATTTCTGGTTGGCTTGGTTAGGTTTTGAGCCGGTGGTGATAGAAAACGTGTTGGAGGGTGATGAGCTGCGCACAGACCTGAAAGCCGTGGAGGCTAAAGTCCAGGAACTTGGGCCTGATAATGTTCTGTGTGTTCATTCTACTACATCCTGTTTTGCTCCAAGGGTGCCTGATAGGTAAACGATTTGTGGATATTGACCTTTATGTGTTTGTCAGTCTCTTAAATAAAGTGTTATATACTAATTCTAAAATATGCTTAAATAACATTTGGTGGTAAATAGTGGATGGTCCTAGGAGATTAGATTAACCTTATGGAAAAATAACATAATGGCTTGGGAAAATAAATATTTACTGTAGAAGAAGGAAAAACAATTAGTACAGGGGAGAAGATCCCTTTGTCACCTGAATAGAAGCAGGCCATATATTTTCTTGCCTTTTTTGTTTTTTGTGGTACTAGGGATTCTACCCAGGGCCTTGTACACACTAGGCAAGCCCTCTATCACTGAGCTGTCTCTAGTCTTTTTTATTTTTATTTTGAGACAGTCTTGCTAAGTTGCCTAGGCTGTCCTTGAATTTGCCATCCTCCTGCCTCAGCTTCCCGAGTTCCTGGGTTTACAGGTTTGCACCATATTCCCAGCTTGCTTTCTTTCTGTGTATCCTGTTTCCAGTCTCTTAGCATCTTTTTCCTTATGTAAAAAAATTTTTAAGTTTGTTTTAATTAGTTATACATGACAGTAGAATGCATTTATGCACTTTCATTTCCTCATTGTTTTAAATAAAAATTTCTTTTCCAAGCTAAATGTTGAGTTTAGTTGTTTTCATTGCTCTCTTTACTTCTTTGACCTTATTGTTAGTTTTCAGATATAGGAACTATTAGTATTAACAGATTTTAAATGGAATATTTTAGGATTATTTATTTTCCTTTGAGATTTTTTTAATTGGAAGATTAAATTCTGATGTTTATTAAATGTTCATAGTGGTTGTCTTTATTTTGACAATGGTATAAATATTTAAGAAAATAAAAGTAAACAGGAAATAAAAATAAATATTTACTTTTCTAAAGAATAGCCACAAGTTTTTATTCTGAAAATGTAATAGCACTTTAGTTTGTTAGTACAGATTTCTGTTTTTGAAAGTAGTTGTTTTTGTTTCATTTTAGTATTTTGAATAGAAGTACTAATAATTTGTAAGAACTATATTGACTTTGGACTTATTAATAAGTTACACTCTGGCTTTCATAGAATCTCATTATTTGGCAGTAATGAATGCATGTTAGCTTGTATTATAGACAGATTTGGAGAGAGACTTTTTAAACCATGCTCTTGAAAATTTACCTTGCTACATTCATGAACCTGTGAATTCTATTTTTGATTATATTGTGTACACTTTAGTGGTTTTTATTCTTTACTTAAAAGCATTTAAAATTTGTATTGAAATATTTTTTCAGAGGTTTTATATTTATTTATTCTTCATTTAACTTTTAAAATACTACTATAATTGAATATTGTTTTTAAAACAAAAACAATAGCAAGTAGTGAGCATATTATGATCATAGTCCTTCACTCATTCACTACTGCATATAAAATGCCTGCAGTGAATGTTATTTACTGGCCCCCTTAAAAGGTTTGACACTGAACACCACCTCTGGGCTGATGTTCTTCATCCTTATATGCTTCTTGATTATAATAGCGTCATTTTTCCTGATTTGGATCGAAGTCCATCAGTTCTACCAGATCCATTTCATCGGTCTCTTCTAATTCCTTCCTCTGATATAGGAGTTTTTCCAACAAAGAAAGTTTGTCAGGAGAGAGAAAGCCATTTTCAGGAAAGTTTACCTTAAACTCGATGGTTAGGTGACCCTTCCATTTGGTCTATGATAAATTGGCATACCTTCATTTAGCACCCACTTTTATATCTCCATGCTTGACAATATGACTGGATGAGAGGTGATGATTGTGGTTCGATTATCAAAGAGTGATACTGGCTTCTGGAAGCCACATAATGCTTCTACCAGCTGTATGTCCATATACATGAAGAGGCATTCTCCTTGTCAAATAAAAACAGCATGGGCCTTCTGATCTAACACAACAATAATATCTCCTGGTTCCAGTTCTGGCTCTTGGTCTCCTTCACCATGGAATGTTATCTTCAGTCCATCTTTCATGACTTTGTCAATATTAACTTCTAGAATCGTCTTCTCTCAAACTATCTTCCTTCTATTGCAGCTTTTACATCTATCTTTAGGACTGATCCATTCCCGCTGGCCTGGGCTCTCCATGCACACAGACTGAATTTGGTGAACCATTCCAGGTCCTATCTGATGAATTCTTATTTGCATTCCAGTACCTTGGCATTTGGGATAGCACTCTACTGCCCCTTTCTTACCACCACGGCCTTCACATTTGTCACAAATCACATTCTTTTGCAGAGCCGGTTCTCTTGTGCACCATTATATAAATCTTCTAATGTTACTGAGAGCTGATGCACAACATTTTTGCCTTTTCTCTTTCCTTTGGATTCTTATCAGGGTGGTACTTCAGGGCCAGTTTCCTGTAAGCCTTTTTCAATTCTTCCTGGGTGGCATTGGGTTTGACCCCCCCCCCCCCCCCAAACATCATAGTAAGTGGTTTCTTTCACCATTTTCTACAGCTGGTGAGCAGGCTGGGGCCACTGTAGGGGAGTGGGTGGGAGGGTGTAACTGTGCATCTTGGGCAGCTGCAGCTCCTCCACCTTTCACCAAGTGTTCTGGAAAGTTCCCCTGTATTGAAATATTAAATACACATTTCTACTCTTGTTTGTTGGTTTTGCTATCTAGGAAAAAATTTAATGTGATAAAGAACTCACGTTTCCAAAAATAGCATATGGGGCTGTAGCTCAGTGGTAGAGCGCTTGCCTTGCATATGTGAGGCACTGGGTTTGATTCCCAGCACCACATAAAAATAAATAAAACAAAGGTATTGTGTCCATCTGCAACTAAAATAAATAAATAAATAAATAAATAAATAAAAATAGCATGTGGATATTTACATTGGTTGGATTATCTATCCTTGGGGAGAGTTTTATTTTTATTTTGACTAATGTTTACAGTATGCATGGCGCAGTGTTGAATATTTTACATCTATTATCTCTGTTAGAAAAAAAGTTAAATTTTTTTAATCAGCAAAATTCTCATTTGTCACTTTTTAGTAGTGTTATGTAATGAATGTTTCTTTTCTTTTTTTTTGTAGTTGGACACAACACCTTTATTTTATTTATTATTTTTATGTGGTGCTGAGGATCAAACCCAGTGCCTCACATGTACTAGATGAGCACTATACCGCTGAGCCACAACCCCAGCCCCATGAATGTTTCTGTTAAGAGGGAAGTTCAGGAAAAAATGGGATGTATAGTTAGTGATATGTTTGAATTTCTGATTTTATTAAATTTTACAATTACATTTTGATTCCTTTATGTCAAGTGTACTTCCTTTAATACCTCATTTTGATGGTATGGCATATATTTTATTTTGATTAGATAACTGGAATATTATAGGGGAAATATTCTTAAAAGAGATGTTAAAAGAAGGGTATCATTTCTTTTAATTAACACCTTAAATTAGTTTACATTAGTTGGATTATCTGATCCCTATGGAAATTATTTTTCTGCTTCTTGCTTTTTATTTAATGTATTTTCATAATCCTATTAATGCATTTGATCAGATTATTTAAAACTATACTCACAAGTGATTGTATTCTTTTTAAAATATAATTTTGATTTTATTATGGTACATTATTTTCAAGGAAGTTTTTTTTTTTTTTGTGGTGCTGGGGATTGAATCCATGGCCTTGTTCATGTGAGGCAAGCACTCTACCAACTATATCCCCAGCCCCAAGGAAGTTCTTTATTAGGGAATGTTTTTTTATTAGATCACATATATATGAAAGTGCCTTTTCTCTTGTGAATATATGAATCACAGAAGGTCTAATTTGTTAAAAACATCTGATTACTTTTAAGTAACAAAATAATTTCTATATTGATTGTGAAGTTTATGAAAATAGATGCTAAAATGAGTTTTCAGTTCATAAAATTCAGGGATACAATTGAAAATGAAAATTTTTATTGAGCATAATAATCTTATTTCTATTTATAGTTTGAAAACATGAATACACATCTACTTAAAAAAAGAAAATGTATCATGTATAATGTATAATATCATGTATAAAATGTATTATATATAATATATATTTGAAATATATCCTTTTAGGAGAAAATTTTTATTATATAAAGATACTTTGCTTTCAAATTCTTTTATGTGAAAGGAAGCTTTAAAAGAAATAATTTTCTTAAACCATAGGAATTAGTTTTAGTTTCATAGTGAAGACATTTCTATTACAGATAACTTCAGTCATAAATAGCATTTGGTTTTGTGAAGGACCCTTTTTATTATGTACTGAGATTTATTAGCTTCATTTAAAGTTAGATTGAAATTGTCTTAATGTGAGAGGTGTAAAATGAAAAAGTGTGAGTGAATAATTACAGATTTAAGCAATTATTTAAAAGATTCTGCTGGTATACAAGTTATTAGAAAATGGCACTTATTTTGGTACTGAAACATTTCAACATCCTGTACTTTTAATACATTAAACTTATTTGAAAATGTATTTTTTATGATGGTTTAAAGTGAGTTTTCTGAAGATTTCCAGATGTGTTAATTATTTTGCAGATACTAGCATTGGTATGGTAAGCAACTGGTCGAATTTAAAAAAGAATATATCGTTTTGTGAGTTGTCAATATAAATAATCTTCTTGCTTTGTTTACAGGAACTTTTTTTTAATGATTTAAAAGTTACTATCTATGTAAATTTTTATAATTTTTTCTTATTTATTGGTAACATTAATTTAAAAGGTTTTTTTAGGCTTTTCTAAAGTGCTTGCTTTGTATTTCCAAACTGCTGAATTATATATGCTGAGAGAGTACAGAAGAAATTTCAGTGTCCCCCTGCCCCCTGTATACATTAATGTTGATTGTTAAGTTAAAAAAAGTTTCCACATTGTAATTTATAAAGCACAGTGTATGACTTCCTGTTGTGTATTTGTGCTTAGATTAGAAGAGCTGGCTGTGATTTGTGCTAATTATGACATTCCACATATAGTCAACAATGCCTATGGAGTGCAGTCTTCAAAGTGCATGCATCTTATTCAGCAGGTAAGAGTTTAAAAAGATATGTTAAAAAAAGTAGATTTTGGGCCGGGTTTGTGGCTCAGTAATAGAGTGCTTGCCTAGCATGTGTGAGGCACTGGGTTCAATTCTCAGCACCACATATGAATAAATAAAATAAAGGACTATTGACAAATGAAAAATAAAAACATATAAAAGTAGATTTTAACATTCACCAGGATAGTTATTTTTATCTTACAACCTTAAATAGTAAAAACAGTTATGTAGCACTCTCTAATATTGCTTAAATATTGGATACATTAGAAACTTGCATTCAGTATCCTCTCAGTAAAAGTCCTTATTCCTTGATAGTATGGTGGTATTTGGACAATACTTTTGTTAGTCCCAAATCAGTGTGAAAGTATTTCAGTAGTTTTTAACTTTCTGAGAATATTTCATGACCAGGATTCTTATTTTTCTAATATAGTATTTTAGAAATTTATAGTATTTTGTTCACATTTCCTATTGGTTCATTATAGTTGCCTTATAGTATTTAAAAAACTGTACTATTTTAAAAACAATTGATGATTATGTTTTATATTTAAGGAATCATTTTACCTTATTATTCTAGATTTTATTTCATTTAGAAACATTTTAGCATAAACTATCGAGTTATGGGTATTTTTTGTTTTTGGTTTTATTTATGGTACTAGGGATTGACTCCAGGGGGTTCTACCACTGAGCTGTGTTGCCTTTTCTTTATTTTTTATCTCTACATAAGTTGCTACAGCTGGCCTGGAACTTGTGATCCTCTAGCCTCGGCTCCTGTGTTGCTGGGCGTTTTAGTCAGCTGTTTCACTGCTGTGACTAAAGGGACCCAACCAGAATAACTGTAAAGAAAGAAAAGTTTATTTAGAAGCTCATGGATTCAGAAATCTTAGTCCATAGAAGGTCCACTCCAATCCCTGGGGCTCAAGATAAGGTTGAACATCATAGAGGAAGAGTGTGGCAGAAGGAAGCAGCTCACATCAGAATCAGGAAGCAGAGAGAAAGGGATACAGAATAAATATCCAGGTACAAAATATATATCCCAAAGCCACGCCCCAATCCCCACCTCCTCCAGCCACACCCTGCCTTTTCAGTTACCACTCCGTTAATCCCTAGCAGGAGATTAATTCACTAATTGGGTTAAGGTTCTCACAACCCAATCATTTTGCCTCTGAACCTTCTTGCATTTTCTATCACGTGAGCTTTTGAGGTACACTTCACATCCAAACCATAACACTGGGATTACTAGTGTGGACCACCATGGCCAGCATTGTTTTGTTTTTAATATAAGCATCAGCTAGATCCTGATGATCTGTCTTGGGTTCTAAGTTTAAAATATGCCTGTTTCCCATCCCATTCAGAATAGTCCGAGGTCTGGCCTGCAGGACTTTGCATGTTCAGGCCTCTGCTGCCCTTCTGACCACTTGCCTCTCACCTGCTTTGCTCTAGCAGAGCCTTTCAGTGGTTGCCTTTCAGTGCCTCCATCATGCCGCAGGTGTGCCTGCTTCCAGGCTTGTGCTCCTGCTCATCCCTCTTCCTGGATTCCTTTTGTTGACTTTTATTGCTTCTCCTCTCACTTTTCTTTAGGCTAATAAGACTTTTTTAGATATCTTATCTAAAATAACACTCCTCTATTCCTTGCTAGTATTTCCCATGGCCCTTTCCCTCTTTTATCCATTCATTGTTTTTTTTGTTGTCGTTGTTTGTTTTGTTTTTATTTTTGTTTATTACTGGGGATTGATCCACTGAGCCACATCCCTAGCCTTTTTTATTTTTTATATTGAGACAGGGTCTCACTAAGTTGCCCAAGCTGGGTTTGTACTTGTGATCTTCCTACCTCAGCCTCTTGAGTTGTTGGGATTATAGGTGTGCGCCACCATGCCTGCTTTGTATTCATTGATTTTAAGAGGCAAAGTTCCACATTGTGATGTCTCTGAAATTGGAATGTCTTATGATCAGTGATGTCTTATGACGTAAATTATCAATATTTTGTCTTACATAGTGATAAGTAAGATAATCTTAAAATTGATGGCCTCTTGCTATTTTTCTCCATAGCTTTTTTAATCACTTCTTCTATGTTTACTTTTATTAATTGATAGTAGTTAGAATTAAGGTTTTGTTAAGGTTAGAATTTTGTTTACTGTTAGTTTCTGTGTATTTAGGACAATAATTAGTATCTAATACAAAATTGACAGTAACTGACTACTGAACATAGTGAAAGCATAAGTGAAGTGGTATTATGTTTATTTACCTGTGTGGATAATGATTTTAATCCACACATTCAGTTTTTTTGGTACCAGGGATTGAACCCAGGGGCACTTAACCACTAGACCACATCCCCAGCCCTTTTTTGTATTTTATTTAGAGACAGGGTCTTGCTGAGTTGCTAAGTGCCTTACTAAGTTGCTGAGGCTGGCTTTGAACTCACGAACCTCTTGCCTTAGCTTGCCAAGCTGCTGGGGTTACAGGTGTGCGCCACTGCACCTGACCACATACTCAGTTTTGACACATATGATTTGTGTTATGTATACTTAAGTTATTCAAAAATTATGACCTTTTCCAACATAATGAATGTACTGAGGCCTAGTAAATACTATTTAGTATTTTTTTTTTTTTTTGGTTTTTAAATTTTGTATGTACTAGTTTCGTCTTTTTTTAATGTTTTCTTATTTACTTATTTATTGGTTCTAATGAGTTATACATGACAATAGAAAGCTCTTCAATTTATTGTACACAAATAGAGCAGAATTTTTCACTTCTCTGATTGTACATGAAGTAGAGTCACATCATTCATGCAATCATACATGTACCAAGAGTAATGATGCACATCTCATTCCACCGTCTTTCCTATCCCTTTTCCCTTCACCCATCCCCTTTGCCCCATCCTCCACTTATCGCATGCACCTCCTACCCCCCATATGAATTATCAGAGAAAACATTCAGCCCCTGTTTTTTTGAGATTGGCTCATTTTGCTTAGCATGATATTCTCCAACTCTATCCATTTACCTACAAATTTTGTAATTTTATTCTCTTTTAATGCTGAGTAATGTTTCATTGTGTATATGTACCACAGTTTCTTCATCCATTCATCTATTGAAGGGCATCTAGGTTGCTTCCACAGTTTAGCAATTATGAATTGTATTGCTATAAACATTGAAGTGGCTGCATTACTGTAGTATGCTGTTTTTAAGTCTTTAGGAGTGGGATAGCTGGATCAAATCATGGTTCCATTCCAAGTTTTCTATGGAATCTCCATGCTGCTTTCCATATTGGTTGCACCAATTTGTAGTCTTACCAGCAATGTATAAGTGTGCCTTTCCCCCCACATCCTTGCCAACACTTATTGTTGCTTGTATTCTTGATAACTGCGATTTTAACTGGAGTGAGATGAAATCTTAGTTTTTATTTGTATTTCTGTAATTGCTAGAGATATTAAACATTTTTTCATGTTTGTTGATCGATTGTATATTTTCTTCTGAGAAGTGTCTGTTCAGCTCCTTGGCCCATTTATTGATTGGGTGGTTTGCTTTTTTGGTGTTAAGTTTTTTGAGTTCTTTATGTATCCTGGAGATTAGTGCTCTGTTTGACGTGTGTGTGGCAAAAATTTGCTCCCACAGTGTAGGCTCTCTCTTCACTTCGTTGATTGTTTCTTTTGCTGAGAAGAAGCTTTTTAGTTTGAATCCATCCCACTTACTGATTATTGATTTTGTTTCTTGCACTTTAGGAGTCTTGTTAAAGAAGTCAGGGCATAATCTGACATAATGAAGATTTGGGCCTACTTTTTCTTCTATTAGGCATAGGGTCTCTGGTCTAATTCCTAGGTCTTTGATCTATTTTTGAGTTGCTAGTTTCATCTTTGATGAAACATGTTATTATGATAGTAGTAGCTGATTTGCTTAATTTCTTTATTCAGAGTTTATATCCGTTGGGATGTCATTGGCATCTGTAGCAGAAGCTCCAGTTGGCTTAAGCAATAAGGAAGTGGATTAGTGTAGGTAACTTAAACCCAAAGGTGAAGTGGGTTTTAGCCATGATATGTCAGGATTTCTTAAAACCATTACTAGGATCACCATTTTTTCTTTTTCTTTCTTTTCTTTTTTTAGTTGTTGACGGACTTTTATTTTATGTAGTGCTGAGAATGGAACCCAGTGCCTCCCATATGCTAGGCAAGCACTTCCACAGAGCTGCAATCCCAGCCCAGATCACCATTTTTCTTTTTATCATTTGCTTGGTGTCATTTTTGTTATTCCTTAACTTTTTAAGGCTTTCTCACAGTTCTAGACTAGATTATATCTAATTTGTATGGAAGCAAGGGGAGGGTGTACAGTTTTCTAAACTGGAAATCTTGGCAGACATTTTGTTTCAATTACTCATTTGTATTGCTCCCCTCTCTTTCCTCCTTCCTCTTCTTCTCTTTAATGTTTAGTAGTCTCAGTTCTTTTGAAATTCAAATATATGACATTAAAATTTAGAAAAGTACAGAAAAAGTAGAAGATCATTTATACCCATCTTACCTTTATAAATGCCACTAATAATTTTTATGTATATGTTTTGTCTTTATATGTATTACTTTTTACATATAGTCATTATATACATTTAACATTGAATTTTTAAAATTTTATTTATTTAGATGTTGGTGGACCTTTATTTTATTCAGTTATTTATATGTGGTGCTAAGAATCGAACCTAGTGCCTCACACATACTAGGCAGTTACTCTACCACTGAGCCACAAGTCCAGCCCCAACAGTAATATTTTAAATTTTGTGTTGTGTTTCTCTTCACATGCTTATAAAGGTTTTGTAATTAATGATCACTTTAACATTCCTTAACAGTTACTTGAATGTTATTTACTTAGTCAAGAAGTGCCCAGTGTTTTAGTATTCACAGTCTGTTTCTGAATATTAGAAAATTTGGTGGCATACCTGAGATTAAGACCTTAAAAGAAACTGAGCTCCATAAAGCTGTACATCATAATGCCCTGCTTTGTCATCATTTCTCTGCATTTATGAGGTATTTTACTAACATTTTAACCAGAAGAATAAAACTGTGAGATGAGTGGATGGATTTTTAAAATGAAGGTATTGCTTTGTTTTAGATACTGTGTTACCTTTAAAATTGATGTAACTTTAAAAGAAAAAAATAAAAAGCAGTAAATAAACATTCTATTTTCCTCAAATTTGCTTTCATGAAAAAAGGCTGTGGCACTGTTACTTTAACCCAAATAAATACATGGGTCTTATTGAGTGCTGGTTGATTTTTTATGACATTCTAAGTAATTAACGTCAACTTTAATTCATCCAGTAGCTCTTACTGACAGTATATACCACTTACTGCCTGCTCACCATGTGTGTTTAGGCATCCTGCCAGGCTTTTAAAGTTTCTTAACTAATCCTAACAGTTGAAGGTGTACTTTTTTTTTTTTTGTTCCTGTTCTCTACATGAAGAAACAAACTCAGTGGGCTTAAGTGACTTGCTCAAGATCCCATAGCTGCAAAATAGCCCATCTAGCTCAGTATGACTCTAGAGCCCCATGTTTTTCTTTAAAAAACAAAGTACTAAAGCTGCAAGTCTTTTCTTGAGAAAATAATATGGCAGTAATAAGGCAATCAATGAAGTGCGAGCTATAACTGTTTTAAGAATTTCTTAGGGCTGGGGATGTGGCTCAAGCGGTAGCGCGCCCATCTGGCATGCGTGCGGTCTGGGTTCGATCCTCAGCACCACATACAAACAAAGATGGTCTGCCGAAAACTAAAAAATAAAATATTAAAATTCTCTCTCTCTCTCTCTTTCTCTCTCTCTCTCTCTCTCTCTCTCCCCCCCCTCACTCTCTCTTTAAAAAAAAAAAAAAAGAATTTCTTAAAGTATTTTTAGGGAATTCCCCAGAATGACTTAATTCTGAGCAGATCAAGAAATACATTTCTGTTTATATTTGCTAAAGTGACTGATTTGAGTCTCATGGAATATGGATGATGGCATACAGTACTGCATCAAATACACATACAGGATTAATTATTTTAGTCAAATGGATCGTAAACCTCCCAAAGTGTGGGAAGCAGCAACTTACTACAAGTTTGAAGTATGTCACTGCCACTCACTCACAGACCTGGTTGTTTGTTTTTCAGCAGATGTTTGCTAGGTTCCCACTGATGGGCCAGGCCCTAGGGCGTGTGCTGGTGCTGCAGTTGTGAATACATGGAAATCCTTCCTTCTTGAAGCATTCTGATTTTGGAAGCAGGCAGTAGGCAGATATTGAGAAATACTCTGGTATTTGGAAGAGAGTTGAATTATATGGAATGATCCAGAGACCTCTTCAAAAAGTAACCTTCAACTGGAGCCCTGAATGATATGAAAAAGCGAAGAGAGTGAGAGAGAGAAAGAAGGGAGAGAGAGAGATTCCAGACAGAAAATTACAGCAAGTGTGAGACTAGCAAGGAGGCCAGAATGGCTAGATCATCATCATGAGGGGAATAGTGGTGGTAGAGATTTGAGATGTACTAAGGATTTGGGATTTTACTTGGGGTATGGCTGTTTGGAAGGTTTGGAGCAGGAGAGTGATGTAGAATGTGGTGAGCAGAATGTAGGATGGCGAGCATAGAAGGCTGTCATAGCAGCCCACGTGAAATATGTTGGTGGCTGGGGCCAGAGTATTCTCTGTGCAGGTGATAGGAAATTATTGGATTCAGACATATTTCTAGAATAGATTTTATAAAATATGCTGGTGAATTATATGAGAAAATGAGAATTCAGGGCTTCTAGGCTTTTGGTCTGAGTGGCTGGAAGAGAGGAAATGCTATAGGATAATATTCTTTCTTTTAAACAGGGCCTCTTCGTCTAGATTCTGGTCCTGCTGGGCATTGATTGCTTTGGTAACCTTCAGTAAGGAGCTTTAGCTGCCAGGATTTGAATCATAGCGGATCTTGGGCATGTCACAGTTCATTATGCTTAATTTTGTCATCTGTAAAATAGGCATTATAGTAGCATCTACTTATTGTGCAGGTTAAGTGTGTATTGAATGTAAAGTGCTTAGAGCAGTGTCTGACACACACTAAGCACTCTGTAAATCTGGCAGTTGTTATTTTGTGAACAATTATTTGTTTTATAGGAATAGGTTCTGGGGATAGCAGGAATAAAATTAAATAAAATATTCATGATTAATATGTTAACTGGAATAGTGTCTGCCGTGTGATAGGTGTTCACACATTTGCTTTATGAATAAATGAGTGAACTAATAAATGGCAGCTCTTTACCTTATTGCTGTATTCTAGTGTTCCTTACTCTGCTTCAACAGTTCATCCTCCCAGTGTTTTTTCCATCCATCATTAATGGGGGAATAGGGTCCTTAGGCCATTCTTGAGATTGGGTCTGGCATGCCTGTTTTCTTGCCTCTGAGAGTGCTGTCATTTGAATCCTGCACTTTAGTGATAAAGGGTTCTAGCTAAGTCTGGTGCACTGATTCCTCTCGTACTCCTGCTCCCGGCTGAGGTTCATGTTTCAGGAAGCCTTGGGCAGCAATTAAATGGTAATAAAAAGGCATCTCTGTGCCATTTTATTCTTACATGCTGCAACTTGGAGTATTTTTCCATTATTCTATTGGTCTTACATGCTTCCCTCTGTTTTCCTAGGATACAGTGGCGTTCTCTTTAATTACAGTTTGTCGGGGAATTAGAGGTGTAACGGGAAGTTAAGATTTAAACAGTCCCATGATAGTTCTATGTCTAGTTTGCTCCCTTTTCCTGCTTTTGCTGCCTCTCCCTTTTGCCTGGATCTGGTCTCTCTGATTAGGCCAGCTATCTGCACCTTCCATTCTCCCTGAGATATGGAGATGGAGAGGAGGTGTGAAAATGAAGGTCAAATGTGGTTATAATATTAATAGGAATGTAGATTGCAAATACAGATTGAAAATCTGTGCCTACAGATAAAGAAGAAAAAAACGATCTTAGTTGAAATTTAGATAGTATCTTTACTTTTAAGAGGAGAGACTTGAAGCATATTAGACAGAAGGTCACAGACTATGTTGGATGGGAACCAGAACTTAGTTTTATATTTCTAGTAGGTAAATAAATATTCAGTTTTTCTAGATTTTCATTTGAAGTTCATTTTGCAGTGGAATGATATTATCTAAGATTATAATATTAGGCAACATGCATTACGTAGAAACATTGCTTGTTAAATTTCCAAGAGTATACATATAAAAGATAGTTAAAATTTGGCTTCTCTCTTGTTTCTGAGTGGCAGTGGGAGCAGAATTTGTTGCTTAAAGTGGTTACAAAGGTATAAGATTGTCCTTGCTTCAAAAAGAGACACTCAGCTGTCTAACTGTTTGACAGCTTGGGTAGCTGTAATCCATTAGGTTACAGTGGCAGCTCTTGAACTCACAACAGGTGTTTAAAACTGCTTCATTGTTGCAAGACTCACTGTAGACATTTATTGTCAAATAAAGGATTGCAGATAAGAAGCATGGGAAGAATCCAGTTTTAAGGTGTAGAGCTCTATTTCAGTAAAATTCCCACCTGAACTAATAATGAAAACCTGCCAACTTCACAAGGTTTTTGTGAGAATTGAATGATTAATATGTAAAGTCTAAAATACTGCTTTAAAAAGAACACCATTTAAAAATTTGGTTTAAGACTTAAAAATATTTTACTGGCACTGTTACAAAAATAATAAAAGTCTCTGACCTGTTTTTTATTTCTATGCATTGTTTTAATTTTGTATTTTTTAATTAAGGTATAATTGTATTTATTTATGGTGTATAATATTTTAAAATATGTATGTGTTATGAAGTGGTTAAATCATATTAATTAACATAGCCGTCACCTCACCTACTTAACATTTTTTGTTGTGGTGATTATTCGTTGATAGTTGTTGTTTGTCCTAGCAACTAATATGTAATATTAAATGTTATTTATTCTAGGGTGCTCGGGTTGGTAGAATAGATGCTTTCGTTCAGAGCTTGGACAAGAATTTTATGGTCCCAGTAGGTGGCGCTATAATTGCTGGCTTTAATGATACCTTCATACAGGAAATCAGCAAGATGTATCCAGGTAAATAAGTTATTCTTCAGAAAAGGTAACTAACAAGCAGAAACCCATTTGTATATATACTGCTGTAATAAATATTAATCTCCAAAGCTTCCTCTATACCCTCTTTAATGTTTTGTCCATTCTTATTTTAGGAAGAGCTTCAGCTTCACCTTCTTTAGATGTCCTTATTACTTTGTTATCACTTGGATCAAATGGCTATAAGAGGCTGTTAAAAGAAAGAAAGGTGAGCTTTCCCTTTAGGTGAACTGGAGGGAAAAGGATGACTAGAATAAAATAGGGCACCAAAATTGAACAACTTCTGTTGTACATCCATCATAAAAATGTTGGAGAATCTGTGATTGATGTGTGTGTGTGTGTGAACTATTCACTAGAACAGTGTTCCAAACCATTGGTGTTTTTGCCTATTGGTTCATTCCATTGGGAGTTTAGATATATGATATGGGAATATACTCTTATCTAGATCCACTGTAGGTGGTTTTCAATTAGCCATGTCATCTGGTTTATCCTGATAGTCTGAGGGATATTAGACAGGTGGTTTTACTTTTATTATTTATTTATTTTAGAAAAACTTTACAAGGGGGATCTTATTTAGTAAAATGAATTTTATTTATCACTTAAAGATAGAGGTTATTAAAGGAAAAATAGAAAAGTCTTCTTTTTAGAAGACAGTTTAGGTTATGGATGTTAATCTCAGGAGGAAGAACCAGGTCAGAAGTTGGCCAGCTTCTCATACTAAAATAATAAATTTCTCTCTAGCCATTTTTGGAATGCTGAACTCCTTGGACTATGTCAGCTGTGAGAAGAAAAGTGACACTTATGTTTAAAAACTGGGCTTTGTCTTCAGTACCAAAAACTGGCTTTATTCAGGACAACTCCAGAACCAGACAGTGTTGGCAGAGCAGGTCAGATTAAGGTGTTTTGTTCACCTTCCATTTGGGAGAGCTTAAAGGTCCTGGTACAGGTTTTGAGTATATTTAACTTTCTAGCACTTATTAGCTATTGTAGTCCCTTAGATTTATATTACTACTTTACATAATTTAAAACATTTATATACATGTCTGTAATCTACAACGTCTTCTAACAGTATTATGATGAATTAATAACAGAAGTTTAAAAATTTTATGCCCTGTTTTACTTTAGTCTTCTTTTTCCCACTCATTCAGTCCATGGGCAAGTTGTTTACTTTTTATTGTGAGGACATTTCTTAAGGTATATCTTGAAAGAGGAAAAGATACTCAGGAGTCATTAGGAAAATGCAGATTGAACAGTAAGATACTACTTACACAGCTAATGTAAAATAAACCTGACAGTACAAATGCTGACAAAGATCATGAGCAAATACATCTCTTAGACATTGCTGGTAAGAATGAAAAGTAATACAGCAACTCAGAAGAAACTCTGGCATTTCTTACAAAGTGAAACATAAACTTAGCATATAATCCAGCCGTCTTCTACATATTTCTCTCAAGAGAAATGGAACCTGTTTTCAGATTTGGCTATTTCTGACCAGAATCACTATAAACATTCATGTATAGACTTTTGTATAGCTATTCTGTTTGTAATTGCCCAAACCTGAAACAACTGAAATATCATCTGATCAGTAGATAAACAAACTGGTATATCCATACTGAGCAATAAAAAGGAATGAACTACTGATAATGCAACAAAATTATGACTCTGAAAACCATTATGATAAAAGAAAGAAGCCATACTCAAAATACCATACTCAAAATACTGCATTTTGTATGGTTTCTTTATATGCTGTCCTGGAAAAGGTAAGAAAATATAGGGACAGAAAAAAGATCTGTGGTTACCAAAGGTTAGGGATTAAGGAGGGGATTTTTTGGCATGATGAAATGTCTTGTATCTTGAGAGTGAGTTTCATGGCTCTGTGTATTTGTTAAAATTCATAGAAATGGACACCTGAAATTTTACTTTATTTAAATTATACTTCAATAAATTTGACCAAATTTTTATACAGTAAGAATAAAACTGTGGTTTTAATAACTACAAAAAGGAACATCATAGTCATAGATTGTTGTAGCCAAGAGAAAAGCTCAGATCTTTCAAGGAAATTTCTCCATACATCAGATGACAACTCTTGTTTATGTATGTGTTACACTTATTGGTTTGTCTGAGAGTTTGGTTGTTTCAGATGCCAAGGGTTTTAGCTATCATATAAATTAGTTGTTTAACCTTGGAAAAGTTACTTGAACTTCTAGGTTTTGTTTCCTTATTTATAAAAGAAATATCGATATATCAGGCCACTTTTATTTCTAAAATAATTTAGAATGTTTATTAAAATATAAAGAGACTCTGGAGTCATTAGGAAAATGCTTTGGGCATTATAATCATGGGAGATGGTCTAATTAAGTCAGTCAGTATAAGGCACATTGGTAATTTAGAAATTAGACATTTTCTAAGTTTGAAATTTTTCTTTTTAAGATGATGGAGCCTCATATTCATTTCCATCCATCTCAGGCCTCCTTGCCCCAGTGACAAGCCCACTTATAGCATGGTCTAAAGTATGGAAAAATGTTTCTGTGAAATGTTTCTTGAAATTTTGTCAGTGAAGTTGAGTGTGGGGTGTTTCATTGAGTAAATACTTAATTCACTGACCAAGAGAGCCTGCTCTTTTGGAGCACATGTTGCACATGGGGTGATTAGCAGTGAGCAAACAACATAAAAGCACAAACTCTAAGGTTTACTTGAAGGTGAATAGTGCTGTAGAAATAAAACAGAGCTCTGGTGACTCTGACATTAAAAGATCTGGGAAGAGAAAAAGGAACAGCAGAGGGGATTGAGAAGGAGCTATCAGTTGATTAGTAAAACCACCTAAGAGCATGGAGTTCTAGAAGCCAAGTGAAGGGAGGATTTCCAGGAGGAAACTAATACCATGGATCCAGTCAGTTAGGGTGAGATTAAGATTTGACCATTTGTTAGAAAAGTTTCTCGTAACATCCTTCTTAGTGTAACTTGGTGCAGGGTTATATTATCTCTGTGAATATATGTGCACATACATTATGGGCATATGAAATACTGACACCTAGTCCTGAGCATTTACTATGTGGCAAGCACTCTTCTAAGTGCATTTTCACGTCTTCATTTAATCCTTACAATATCTCTGTGAGGTAAGTTTTATTGTCACCCTCATTTTCTGAGGAAATGGGACAGAGAAGTACCATGAGTGAGATAAATTGTGAAATTAGATTTAATCTAGGCAGTTGGGCCTCTTATTCTCCATATTAACCTTTAGACTCTACTGCCTTTTTGTATAGTCTAGCCTGCTAGCTGGTAGCTGTGTAGCTACATATAGCTATGACTCTGAAGAGTTAGGTCTACTAAAATCTAAAGGAGGCAAAAACAATGAATAAATTTAGCTATTCCAGCCAAAATAAAGTACAGTTATATTTTAGAGGGAATATATGTTATTTGCGCGTGTAGAATTGCTATGCTTGGGCAGCAGCTCCCACTGATGCAGGTAGTCTTGGTGGATCAGTCACAGTGTTCCTTCCTTCTCTTTCATAGCTGTGGGCATGTGATGCGGCTAGCTTGGTTCATCGGTAGGTATGTGGAAGATGAGTCCTGCCAGTAAGTTTTATGGATCCTCCAGGGATAAAGGGCCTCTTGCTTTGCACATAGCAAGTTTTAAGGATGGTTTTATGGTTATCAGCTGCCATGTTTTTGGCTGTTCCAAAAGAGATTTCTTGAGACTAGAGAACATGAGAGGGAAAAAGAGAAGTGAAGCATTTGAGACTCTGGATCCAGCCATACCTACCTGTAGACAGTTGTTAGATGAACCAATAAGTTCCCTTTTCTGTTTTAAACTAGATTTCCAACACTGATATTTTGATTCTTCCTATATCCTCAACTCCTTGTGTCATTAAGCCATTTGTAATGATTTCAACATGTCACATCTTATCCCTTTCTGCTGTTGTTACTCCCTCACTTACACCCTTACACCATCCTGGCAGGGTGGCTACAATGGCCTGCTAACTCTTCTCCTGATCCTCAGTTGTGGCTGATTTGTCATGTTGACTTTAATTTGCAGTATGACTACATGTCATATTGTAGAGTGATACCAGATTAATATTCTAAAATATAGTTTTCTTCAAGTTACTCTGCTTTCAGTTTTCTGTTATTTGTAAGACAGAAGTCAGACTCCTTAGCCTGCCATCCTGTTTATAATTTGATCCCACATTTCTTTAGCAATATTGGCCCTGCTTATGCATTTATTAATTCAAACATTTATGCATAGACCCTAAGGTTAAAATCACAGACAAAACTGAAACAGTTTATACTCTCATGGAAATTATAGTTTAGGGGAAGTCTGGATATTAAATGAACAATTATAGATCTGATGAGAATTTTGAAAGGAAAAGCAGCATATATGAGAACATCCATTGCAAAGCAACTCTGGAAGACCTTTCCGAAGAGGTGATATCTATTCTGCAAAAGTGCAATTTGTGCTGGGTGTGGTGGCACACACTGGTAATCCAGTGGCTCAGGAGGCTCAGGCAGGAGGATTGCAAGTTCAAAGCCAGCTTCAGCAATTTAGTGAGACTGTGTCTCAAAACAGCTGGGGATGTGGCTCAGTGGTTAAACGTCCCTGGTACCAAAAAAAAAAAAAAATCAGTTTGTACATTTATTTATTAATATTCATGTTGTGTTCGTAAGCTAGCATTGTTGGCCAGCACAACTGTAGAACTTGAAAGGGTATTTTAAACTGTGACTAGAAAGCAAAGTATTGTGCACCCACCAGAGGGTTGATGTTTTGGATCACTTTGTAAATATTAGTTTTCTTTTAGGGTAGATTCAGATTCAGTAGGTCTGGAGTAGGGCTCAGACAGCTGCATTTTAAACAGATTTCCCTCCTGTGATACACACCCAAATTATAAACCTGTTGTTTTAGGGCATACACAGGTCATTTGTATGTATAATAGAAACTTGGAAACACGCAGTGTCACAGCATTTTAATACTTATATAGATAATAGTTTATGGCATTTTAGATAGACCACTTAATTATCCTAAATATCAAAGCTTGAAAATGTAACTTGTTATCTGTTTTATCTTCTACAGTATTTTTTCTTAGTTACTTTTTGTTTTATATTGATTATTTGGCAAATTTTGCTAAGATCCATTTTCAAACGAAATAAGTGGAATATATTTTTCCTGATAAGAACATTTTACAGTTTTAATCATTTTTAAAATACACTTTATCA